ACTAACTACTTCCTCCTGGATTACTGGAGGGATATTCTGCTCCCAATCCCTGTTTACCAACTCAGGAGTCCAGCTACCCTGAGGACAGGCAGTCTTTTTGAAGACTGCGGCAAAGAAGGTATTAAGTACCTCAGCCTTTTCCTTGTCTTCTGTTACTGTGTTCCCCCCCTCATCCAATAAGGAGCAGAGATTTTCCCTGACCCTCCTTTTGTTATTAATGTATTTATAAAAGCACTTTTTGTTATCCTTTACAGAGATGGCCAAGTTGAGTTGTAACTGAGCTTTTGCTTCTCTGATTCTCTTTCTGCACGACATTAAAATGCTTCCTGATTCACCTGCCCCTTTTTACAGAGTTGATACAGTCTTTTTTCCCCCGAGTTCTTGCGAAAGCTCCCTGCTCAACCACATTGGCCTTCTTCCCCGACGGCTCATTTTATGGGTCACAGGGACAGCTTGCTCCTGTGCCTTCATAATTTCATTCTTAAAGTAAGCCCAGCCTTCCTGGGCCCCTTTGCTTTTAAGGGCTGATTCCCAAGAGATTCTTCAAACCAGCATCCTGAATAGTCCAAAGTCAGCCCTTCAGAAGTCCAAGGTTGAGGTTTTGCTGGCGACCCTCCTAACTTCATCACATATTGAAAATTCTGTCATATCATGGTCGCTGTAGCCAAGGCGACCTCTGACCACCATGACTTCCACCAGCCTTTCATTATTCTTAAACAGTAGGTCTAGCAGGGCACTACCCCTGGTAGGCTCAATGACCACTGACCAGCTGCAAATAGAAGGTGTCATCCATACATTCTAGAAACCTCCTGGACTACACTCTCTCTTCTGCGTTGTACTTCCAGCAGGTATCTGGTAAATTGAAACCCCCCACGAGAACCAGGGCTAGTGAATGTGAGACATCTCCAGATTGTTGAAAGAATGCCTCATCAGTGTCTTTATCCTGGTTGGGTGATCTGAAGCAGAATCCCACTGGGATATCAGTCTCATTGTCCTTCTCCTTTAGCCTTATCCATAAACACTCCAGCTTGGGGTGCCTAACATTGAATTCTAGGCAAACCACTCCTTAACATATAATGCTACCCCACCACCTCTCTTTTCTATCTCTTCTAAAGAGCTTGTAGCCGTTCATTTTGGCACTCCAAGTATGCAAATCCTCCCACCACGTTTCTGTGATGACAATTGTATCATGGTTCCCCTGGTGTACAACAGCTTCTAATTCCTCCTGCTTATTTCCCAAGCTTCGAGCATTGATGTATATGCACTTGAGCCATGGTACAGACATCGCCTCCAACACTGCTACGTCATCCTGAGTCTTATCCCTAGCAGCCCTGGGTTTGTCACATACAACACCACTATCCACCTCAAGTAGGGCGGCAGACTGAAGGCCATCCTTAGGCTCATTTCTAGTGAGCCTGGTTTTATTCCCTTCCCCCTTGGAGACTAGTTTAAAGACCTCTCGACGAGCCCTGCCAACTCCTGTCCTAGGATCCTTTTTCCTCTCTGGGACAGATGTATTCCATCTGTCACTAGCATGCTCGGTGCCATGTAAACTTCCCCATGATCAAAGAACCTGAATTTTCAACGGTGGCACCAGTCTCTGAGCCATGCATCGATCAAGTGTTATTTTCCACCCACTTGCAGTGTCTTTCCCTTCCACTAGAGGGATTGATGAAAACACCACTTGCGCACCTGATCCATGTACTAGTCGCCCCAATGACTTAAAGTCCTTTTTTATTGCATTTGGATGTCTCTCTATGACTTCATCACTACCAGCCTGGACAACTAACAAGTGGTAGTAATCAGAGGGCTGCACCAGACCAGGCAGCTTCCTCTTCACATCCCTGACCCGAGCCCCCGGGAGGCAGCAGACTTCCTTGTGGGTTGGGTCTGGTCGACAGATGGGGCCCTCTGTTCCCCTCAGGAGGGAGTCGCCTACTACAATTACCCTCCTTTTCATGAATTGCCAGGAAGTAACTTAGGAGCAAGAAGACCACTTTCCAGTCCTTGTCTGCTTGATCTGGTCTGCTCTTTTTTGTGTTTTATTCCTTTGGAAAAGGCTGACACATTATGAATTTTACTGGGTACACTGTCAATGCACAGATCAGTTTTAGGTCCAGCTGCCTTTCATCACTTGCATCTATCAGAATGGAATAAGTTGATGAGACAACATTGTGAAAATCATTAGCTTCCATCGACGGTGTAATTCTTCTCCTGTAAGCAGTAATTTAACTTAAATTTCCAGGTACTCTTGGTGTTTTCTTAATATAGGTATCTACTGGATTAAAAATATATTCCTTCTGTTGTTACTAGTATGCTGTCTTGTATAATACAGTGATCTTTCCTTTTTTCCAGATTACAGAACAGGCCCGTGTTTCACACAAATTAACAACCAGATGTGTCAGGGCCAGCTAACTGGAATTGTTTGCACGAAAAATCTCTGTTGTGCAACCATTGGGCGTGCATGGGGTCACCCCTGTGAAATGTGCCCTGCTCAGCCTCAGCCGTGCCGTCGTGGCTTCATCCCTAATATTCGCACTGGAGCATGTCAAGGTAGGCCTTCTGGATTAAATTGTTGGTGACTGTTGTGTTGCTTTTATGCATCTTGAAAATCTTGCATCCATTTAAAACAAAATCATTGCTTTCCTTTTGTGTGTTCTGTGTCTTACTTTTGATGCAATTTGGATACGCTTTGCTGCTTCCAGATTTTAGCTAGTGTATATATAGAACAAAACTCAAATGCCTGGAAAAAATAATTCCAGTCAAGCAGCTGCAAATACAGAGCGTGAAAAGGTCAGAATTTCTGTTGAGAACAAGCATGAGGAGTTGCAACAGAGCATCAATTAGGCAACTGGCTTATGTTGCTGTAGCCCTTAACTAATATATACTTCATTCATTCTACTGAAAAATTCAGTATTTCCAGCTACTGATTTGTTTCCTTTCTGAAGTGGTTAGGGGTTATTACATAGACTTTTTTAAAAAAAAAGAAAAAAAAAGGAAAAAAAGAAAAAAAAAGAAAAAATCCCATCATTTCATTCAAATAATGAGTTTTCTGGATGCTCTGTTTGTATTGTTTGTATGGGACTAGAAAAATGCATGAGTAGGGAAGGACTCCAGTCTTCTAAGTTTGGATTCCTAAAATGTTTGAGAAATGGAAAAGCCTTACTGCCTTATCCAATATCTCTTTCCAGACATTAAGACACTTGCTGCTGTTCCTCCTTTGTGTTGTTATTGAAATCTGGATATCCCTTGATGTCCCACTTCAAAGGGGCCACCAGACAGGGCATGGGCGCTACTAATTTTCTGCCAGTGGGTGGCAGCATGCCAAATAGTATCTAGAACCTCTCTGGCATCTTTATAAAACAGTTTGGTGGATGAATGGTCTGCATCCTTGCCACACTGGCTACTTTCATAAGCAGCTTGGACTATGGCCCCTAAAGCTGCCAGGGAGTTTCCTATGCATTAGTTCTAGTGACAAACCTAGGTCTAAACCTTCCCTCCACAGCCTAGTTTTGAGATCTTTCTCCTCTCTCGTACCACTTGAGGACTTAACATGAGGTCCTGCAAGACCTTGTTTGAGGATTCTGGCTTCTTTCGGGGGTTTTTGTTGGGTGGCACCTTCATCATATTCTGTTGTTCTAGGCTTCTGTGTTAGTTGGTTTATGAATGATCTTCAGTTGTTTTGTCCATTTTGCGTTGCATGGTTGGTACTAATTAAGATTAATTTAAGGCTGGATTCCAGCTTTGTGTAAGCAGTCATAATTTATTGAGGTTCAAGTTCAGGTACAGTGGTGAGTCTGAAGCTTCTCAAACGAAGGGCCACAAAGGGACTGGAGCATCTCTGAGGAAAGGCTTCGTGAGCTGGGACTCTGCAACCTGGAGAAGAGAATGCTCAAGGCACATCTTAACAGTTCATACAGATAACTGAAGGGAGAGTGCAAAGAGGACAATGCCAGGCTCTTTCTGTGTGGTGCCCAGTGCCAGGACAAGAGGCAGTGGTCACAAATTGAAACATGAGAAGCTCCTCCTCAGTATCAGGAACCATTTTCTTACTCTGAGGTTGACAGAGCACTGACACAGGTTGCCCAGAGAGGTTGTGTTGTCTGCATCCTTGGAGATGTTCAGAAGCCATCTGGACATGATCCTTGGCAACCTGCTCTAGGTTTCCCTGCTGAAGCAGGGTGCTTGGACCATATGATTTCCAGAGGTCTCTTCCAACCTCATCCAGTCTGTGATTGTATGAAAAACATCCTGATTCAGGCAGCTTCTGTTGTTCACGGTGTTACAAAAGATTTCAGGGAAGTTGTTCTTTTGCTGCTTCAAAAGAGGCTAGATAATGTCTTCATTTTTCACTTTTATTTCCCTATTCCTTCTATTTCAGTTTTCTCCACAGCCCCATATACTGCAGCATTATTCTTAGTGCCGTTTTCCCCTACACTGCATCACAGTTTGGTGGCTTGAAGTTTCACTAATCTAACCAAGTCAGTTATTTGGCTGGATTTCTACTTCAGGTCTCCGCCATAAGAGTTGTTGCTAAGAGTCCTCTGAACTTGAGTGGAAAAATTGAGAAAAAATCAAGATGTTGCAAGACTTTTAATTCTTATAAATTAAGATTTGATGAAACAGATTTTTTGATTTTTCCTTCAGTTTTCATTAATGCAGTGGTATGATTGACCTGAAACTACAACTGAAACTGTTAGCTCAAATTCATTTCTGTGGAACCCCTTGTGACGTTATCTTACTAAAGGCATCTTTTTTTATTTAAAATACTTATGTTAATTTTATGCAACAATGAAACCCTTCATTTTTCTTAATTTCAAATATTTGCTTTCCTGTTATTCTGTGCTTACACTCCTTAAAGCATCCAAATTACATTAAGGAGAAATATTTGATTGTGTTTTTCCTTATATGTCAGAAATTGACCTCTATCTGCATGTAACAGCTTATGTTAATCTTGAAGTGATTCGTATGGTTTAAACATTCTTCTCGTAACAATGTCATAAACAGAAACAGTATACTGAAGGCATGTATGGTGGTTACAATCTCCAAGTCAAACTCCTGTGTGATGAAGATGTTGGCTAGATATAATGAATTCTTAAAACCTCACTGCCAAACTGATCCTAGCACAGCTTCTGGGACTTCATTTAAATTATGTGAGAGATAAGTAAAGCTCTTTAGCACTCGTGCCCACAATACTGTGTTTTCTTTTTCTGACAGATTATTCTGTGTGGCAAATATTTTTAAATTATGCAGTTAACATTATTGTTGAATTCCACTGTGAAGCATGGAAACAATGTGGTAATCTACTGTGTGTGATGGATGAACAAAGGGATTTTAAACAGCCATAGTTTTTGCTACATTTTTTACATATTATTACTGTATAGGAAGATCTGCTTGAATTTATGTCTGCAGCAGTTAGCGTGTGATGTTACAAGATGATGGAAAGGCACAAAAAGATGAAGAAAAGTTAGATTTTCTGTGTGGAAAACGAGAGAAGTAATTTCTTTGTTCCACAAAATAATTGTCTTTACTTCCAACAGCTGAGACAGTCTCTTTTAAGCTGTGCGCACTGGTAATTCCTCCTGACCTAGGTTCTGTGGTGTTTGCAGGTTGATATAGCATGTTTTCTACTCTGCTCTGAGTTACCAGACCACTCTGCAAGGAGACTTGGATATCGCACTTGACACTGTGGAGAGAAGTGTTTACTATTTACCCTTCCAAACTTCATGTTAGAGTTCATAGTCTGTAGAAATAAAGTTCAGAATTTTGTTATAGCTAGGCATTAAAATTTCAGAAAAAAGCAGTACAGCAGTGTTGTTCACAGGGCAGCGAAAAACTTTCAGCACTTGGTTGAAGTAGAAACTCTAGGAAAGAGCCAAGCGGTATACTGAAGAAAAAAATTAGGACTGAGGTACTTGCTACTGCACTGCAAGAAGTACTACAGGAAGATAGAAGAAACTCTTAAAATTTCTGTGCCAAAGTCACCCTGGCAGAGAAAGGTGAAGGAAGAGTTTAATTCAGACAGAACGAGTGAAGGGTTGTAGGTCTGTGAGTTGTGCACAGACAGAAGCTGTAATAATAATAGCAGGTATGACTGCGCAGAAGTAAAATGTGAAGAAGAAAATAAAGGGGTCAAGATGGAGCTCTAGGAGGAACGCTACAAAAGTTTTAAGAAGAGAGGAGTGTCAGCAATTCAGGAAAGTTGTTCTGCAAGTGTGATAACTCCTATCTCAGGAGGCTTCGCATCATGAAATAGAAAGGTCACATGAGACTTGCATTAAATCTTTTCTCTGAGTGTTTTAGAAACAAATACAGGGATCTGGCTAATGCTTTTCAATGCTCTTCTTTATGCTCATGACGTTGGCTTTACAGAGACTTTTATTAAAGGAACACAAAACTCCTTGGTATTCAGTAAAAGCGTGGCTTTGTCACATATCACTTAGACCAGATTCACTCAGTCCACAGTTTGAATGCTTGGCAGCTTTTAAGTGAATGCTTACATCAGCAGACAGGCTAGTTTGGGAGTTGATACAAACAGGTCAAAATCAGTAGAACTTGCAAGGCTTGCTGATGGAAGATAGGTCATAATTAGGTGTCAGAATGTGACGATTTAACTGCTGAGTATGAAGTTGCTCTTACTCTTCACATTATGTATGTGCTGCAATCGTAAGAGTATCTTAAAATCGCACTTTAGCACCTTTTCAGAATTAGTTACATTCTCTGAGTAATGTGCTTGTGTAGCAGATTTTGCTGCTATTATTATTTCATTATTACCATGAACAGCTTAAAAATATTAGAGGAGCAAAACCAATCAGAATTTAAATTGCTTGATATTACTGTTGCTGTTTTCTCCCGCAATGGTTTCTATTCAATCATTTCTTAAACAGGAATTGTAGCTGTTCAGACATCCCTCTTCCCAAGAGTTCAGGCAGGAGGAACTTAAAAGTTCCACTTGAATGTACTTTATTGCCATTGCTACACAGCCTTAGGAATAGCATAATGGCAGAAATCCGGTGTTGAATGCTTTCTCAGTTCATCCTGCTGTCATGAAAATAAGTATTAAAACAGAAAAAAAAAGCTTAATGTTATTTCTGCTCTACATTTGTATTTGTAAAATTTCTGTTATGTGGGATGCAGAGGAAGAGCCAACGGTTTTTATTGTATTGACAAGCAGTTTACTTTTTTGTTTTCGCATTGCTAAATCCATTTCAAAGAAACTCCCCGTACATATTATAGGGAGAATTCAAGAGCAAATTTATATTTGGGTAATTGTTATTACTACCATTGTAAATAAAAAGTGCAGTCTCCAAAATTTGTGTATAAAATCTGAAAGGATTTATTTTTCTTGAGCTTTTTACTTCTTCACAGTGTTTTGAGAAACAGTCCACTCATAAGAAGGGGAAGCTGAATATGGCTCTGTTTTCAAAGGTACATGTTAGCTCTGCAAATCTCGCAGGCATTTGAGAGAAAACTCTGCAAAAACCTTTTTTTATTTGCCAGGTATTATCAAGCCTATCAACACATGGAAACATTCTACCTAATCTATAGCATACTGAACCTCAATATAAAGAACTGTATCTAAAGAGTTATTAATTTAATTTTCTGTTTATGGCAAAAACTTTATTGTGTTAATGTGGTTGGGGTTTAGAAGTGTGAGTAAATGAGTAATCAATAAGGCTAAAACTCCTGTATAGCTTAGCCTGACTGTCAAAGATAGAAGAAAGTAAGTAAAAATGTGCTGCATTTCAATTTTTCAGAAAAAAAATATTTTCATATCTTAAAATGACGTTTAGGGAGGAAATCATAAAATATGCCCTTTTAAGAAAATGGTTTTGTCCTTTCTGACTTTTCTCGGTTCCAAACCATGAATGATTTATGAAAATAAAGGTTTTTTTTTCTCAAAAGGTGATATTAAAAAAACATTAAGCTTGTAGTATGTATATAAGTTTTTTAGCTAACACTAAAATTAAATATATTCTCTTTACATTTAAATATGACAGGATCGTTGACATAGAAGTCCTCACAAATTAAGATTGCTATTAGCACAGAAAAGCAAGATAATACATGTGGTTCAAGTATCTGCAGGATCTCACCTTTCATAGTGATTATTTGTGTTTTCTTCACTGGACAAGCACTTCACTGTGTTATGTAATTGGAATCGTCTTTGCAGACTTCATAAGAGCTTGATATTTATTTGTTCTTTTAAAAGCAGAGGACTGGAATTGAGTAAAATGAATGTAATCAATAGATCTTAAAGTTTTGTTCACTTCAAGACTTGCAGTGATACCTTTTTTTCCCTGGGAAGTATTAATTTCCTATTGCTACTGCCATTAATATGCTATTTTTTGACATATTTGACTTAGAAAACTGTGAAAGATAGGCAGTGTTTATTTTTAACCACTAATCTGCTGACACAGTTGGCTTGACTTAACTAAGCATTAGTAAATGACACAAGGCACAGGCATACTGTGAGTGATCAATGCATTTTGAGGCCCAAGGGTCAAAAGACAAACATTGCATTAGCTCTACCCAGAAGGGAGCTACTGCATGGGCTGGATGTGAATAAATGACAGAACCCATCTTCTGTTGCTGCTGCTAAATCACATCTAAATTCCTCAAAATACTTCAGAGATGAAAAGTTTGCTTTCCAGGTAAACTGGATTGCACTAAGCATTTAGAAGAAAAAGTCTTACAGAAAGTTTATGTGTCTGATAAAGTCCTTAATCACAGAATCACAGAATTGCAGACTGTCAGGGGTTGGAAGGGACCTTGAAAACTTGTCTAGTCCAACCCCCCTGCCAGAGCAGGATCATTTACAGCAGGTCACACAGGAACGCGTCCAGGCGGGTTTTGAATGTCTCCAGAGAAGGAACCTGGCTCCGACCTCCTGACACTCACCCTTTACATATTTATCCATGTACAAATCTTAACTGTTGCCTGTGAACATTGTACTGCACAGACTAAATTGGATTCAGGAGCTAAATACAAATTTCTTCAGCAAATGTGCTTAAATCCAGGTTCGGTGGTTAACAAAAAAATTACCTTTTCCTTGAACATGAGCACTTGTGCCTGCTTAAATGGAAAAGTTGGTAAGTGGCCAAGGCATATGTCATTGGTTATATCTATGACACAAACACCAGGATTAACAAAACCTGAGGAAGTACTATAACCCACAGACTCAGGTGGGATATCAGTGTCTTGTAAAGGGTTCAAGATAATGAACATCCTCCTGAAAAGGAGTACTGTATTCTACTACAACTGTGTTTGTCCTACCACATCTGTTCTCTATCTTGCTGTTCTCTGTGTTCACAGTTACAACGAGCTGGTTTTGAAAGGGAAAAGGTAGAGAGAAAGAAAACAAACATGATTGCGAAGAGGAAAGAGATGCTTTCTTCTGCATCTTAAATAAAGTTTACCAGCTGCTTCAGTTAGTAGTGCATGCAGGCCAATAAGAAAACTGACTGAAAATGGAAAATAGGGTAATGACTAAAATTACTTGTTTATTTGGCATTAATGAAAGATCTAGAGGAAAAAAGATGAAAATAATTTTTCCTAAATGCTTTAAAAATATGATAATTTTAAATAGATATTTTAATCATAATGGAGAAAGAGTGGCATAAAATTATTGTTTTTCAAAACAGAAAGTGTATTGCTTAATTCTATAATTGAATTACATACTTAACTGTAAAGCAAGAAGAGAAAATAGAATGAAATTGAGTTCTGAACAGAAGAAGCTCTTTGGAAGCCATGTGGCTTCCTTTTCTGCAATCTGCAAAGGACACTTTCCTTTATTTCTATTTCACAGCATGGAGAAGTAACAAAATTGATTTTTGCCTCTTCTATTTGAGAAGTATTCCAGAAGAGCTTTTGCAGGTTTCGGAACAAAACTTCCAAGCCTTCTCTCCTGTATGCACATTTGTGTGCATGTGAAATTATATCATGAAGGAATTGATATGTTTGCTTAATTCTGAACTATCTAATAGCTATAGGTTAACTGAACTTATAAGAAGAGCTTCTGAGAAGCTAAATACCCAGATATGGTATTTATGTCATGCACTAGTCTGGAGTCTGTTCTCCCTTTTCTTATGTACAAGGAATATCACTTTGCTTTGGAACTGATTATTTCATAGAGGTCTCAATTACGATTTGCACTTATGCATTGAGTCATGTGATAGTTTTGTATAAAAAACTGCAGAAATATATTTTATGCATAAACAAATAAAAGCGGGGAAAAAAATCCCAACACAATTTAAACTGGAATTAGCACATAGTAAAATATAATAGGAAGTTCCTGAAAGTAAAATGTAAAGCAAAAATGACAATATATTTTCTAAGAGCGTTTATTTAACATTTACAGTCCAGCCTAAAGAAATCTGTGAAATTATGGTCCTACTTATTACTTCAGTAAGTACGGTTATGGACATCATCTGACATACAGCTTATCCTGGTTGAATAACACCTATTTTCTATTTACTGGAGTGGTTTGCTTTTGTCCAGAAAGAATATGCTTTAAGAATTATTATGCATAGTGAAGTTCACAGAATCATAGAATCATTAAGCTTGGAAAAGACTCCAAAGTTTATCAAGTCCAACTGTCAGCACAAAACTACTATGACCACTAAACTATACCCTCAGGTGTCTGGCCTATAAATTTTTTAAAAACACCGAGGATAGTGGATCTACCACTTCCCCAGACAGCCTGTTCCAGTGCCTCGCCACTCTTTTCAGTAAAGAAATCTTTCCTGTTGTCTGATCTAAACCTCCCCTGGTGCAGCTTGAGGTGGACTTCTCTTTTAACTATCACTTGTTACTTAATAGAAGAGACCAACACCCACCTTGCTACAGACTCCTTTCAGGTGGTTGTAGAGAGCAATGAGATCTCCCCTCAGCCTCCTCTTCTCCAGAGTAGACGATTCCAGCTCCCTCAACTGCTCCTCATAAGTCTTGTTCTCCAGACCCCTCACCAGCTTCAGTGCCCTTCTCTGAACCTGCTCCAGCACCTTGATGTCTGGTTTACACTGCAGAGCCCAAAACTGAACACAGTACTCAAGCTGTGGCCTCACCAGTGCCAAGTACAGAGGCACAAACACTTCCCTGGTCCTGCTGGCCACACCATTTTTGATATAGGCTGGGATGCCGTTGGCCTTCTTGGCCACCTGGGCACACTGCTGGCTCATGTTCAGCCGGCTGTCTGTCAATACCCCCCGGTCCCTCTCTGCCTGGCAGCTCTCCAGCCACTCCTCCCCAAGCCTGTAGCGCTGCTGGGGGTTGTTGTGACCCAAGTGCAGGACCTTGTGTAACCTCATACAGCTGGCCTCAGCCTTACAATCCAGCCTGTTCAGATCCCTCTGCAGAGCTTTCTTGCCCTTGGACAGATCAACACTCCTGCTCGATTTGGTGTCATCTGTAAACTTACTGAAGACGCAGTTGGACAGGAGGGTAGTCTATATTTACAGGTAGAAATCCTTTCAAAATAAGAATCTGCCTTTTGTAATGGCCATGTATAAAGAAAAATCTGAGGGCCTGGGATGCCAACAGTAAGTTGTGGAAATTTGACAATTCTTTTTACAATTCTTAAGTATTTAAAGCTATGTAAGTCATGTCAAAACATATGATACATTTTGAGCTCAGATGGAATTGCATACAACACACATTATTGCTGATGTTGCAATGTCTTATATTGGTACTGCAGTGAAGAAATGTACTGGGGTGTCCTGTGGTCATTTTTAAGAATTTCAGAGCTCTCTGACTGTCAGCAAAAGCCATGATAAAATCTTGCACCTTAGGTTAAGTAATGCTTCTTTTTTATCTTTGTAGACGTTGATGAATGCCAGGCTATCCCTGGGGTGTGCCAGGGAGGAAACTGCATTAATACAGTAGGTTCATACGAGTGCAAGTGTCCTGCTGGTCACAAACAGAATGAGGCAACTCAAAAATGTGATGGTAAGTGATGTTTTCAAAGAACATACCTAAAAACTGGTTTAAGTAAAGCACTTTAATAGAACACTTTAGTAGTAAAAAAAAAAGGTTCTGAATAGTTGCAGTGTCTGATCTGAAGAGGCATGACATACTTATACTGTGATTATTGTTTCTTCTTTACAGAATCATCTGTTTCTATGCACATGATGTATTGCTTTAGATTTTTCATAGAATCATAGACTGTTAGGAATTGGAAGGGACCTCTGAAGATCATCTAGTCCAACTCTTCTGCCAAAGCAGGATCACCTCAGGCAGGCCACACAGGAATGCATCCAGGCAGGTTTTGAAAGTCTCCAGAGAAGGAGACTCCACAACCTCTCTGGGCAGCCTGTGCCAGGGCTCTGTCACCCTCACAGTGAAGAAATTTCTCCTCATGTTGAGATGGAACTGCCTGTGTTCTAGCTTATACCCATTAGGGGGCTGGTTAGCTCAGTGGTTTGAGCACGGTGCTGACAACAATGACAACACCAAGGTCACGGGTTTGATACCTGCTTGGTCCCCATGTGTTGCCTGGTCTAGTCGAGAGGTGACATCCCTGCCCATGACAGGGAGGTTGGATTAAATGATCTCTAAGGTCCCTTTCAACCTAGGTCATTCTATGATTCTATGATTATTTCTTATCTTGTTACTGGGGACCACCAAATAGAGCCTGGCACCTTCCTCTTGACACCTACCCCTCAGATATTTGTATACATTAATAATATCCCCTCTCAGCCTTCTGTTTTCAAGACTAAACAGCTCCAGTTCTTTGGAGATGTTTGAGTCGCTTAATCATCCTCGTAGCATTCCGTTGGACTCTCTCCAGTAGGTCTCTGTCTCTCCTGAACTGGGGAGCCCAAAACTGATCACAGCATTCCAGGTGTGGTCTCACCAGGGCAGAGTAGAGGGCAAGGAAAACCTCCTAGACCTGCTGGACACACTTTTCTTAATGCACTCCAGGATCCCATTGGCACCCTTGGCCACAAGGGCACATTGCTGTCCCATGGACAACTCACTGCCCACTAGGACTCCAAAGTCTTTCTCCATGGGGCTGCTTTCCAGCAGGACATCCCCTAATCTGTCCTGATGCCTGGTGTTGTTCCTCCCCAGAGACAGGACTCTGCGCTTGTCCTTACTGAACTTCATGAGGTTCCCCTTTGTCCAGCTCTCTAGCCTGCCCAGATCTTCCTGTGTGTCAGCCACCCCTTCCAGTTTCGTACCATCAGTGAACTTGCTGAGGGTGCACTCTGGCCCTTCATCCATGTCGTTGATGAAGACAGTGAACAAAACTGGACCCAGCACTGTTCCACTGGCCACAGGCCTCCAACTTGACTCTTGTGCTGCTGATCACAATCCTCTTTTTTTGTCTGTCTGACTTGTGTGGTTAAAGAAAGTATTTACCGTGTTTCAAAGTTTAGAACTATTGATAAAGAGTGCATCTCTGAGCAGTATATAACTGCAACTGAGTTGTAAGGATTTGGTTTGTTTTCTCAAAAAATGTCAAAAATATTCTAGTGCAGGTAGGTGTTTTTAGCCTACTGAATGCAGCATGAAGAGCAAATGTGGCTGTTTTGTTAATGGATTTAGGAAGATTCTGCTATGTACAGTTTGCACTGATGAGTTGAATTTTATTCAGTAAACATGTTGATACAATTAAGAGATACAATTATTCTGTATGGTTTAAATTAATGCTATAGAAAATTGCTAGGTTTTTGTGGATTTAACGAAGACTTCACTGATTTGAGTGAATGTGTTATGCTTTCAAAAGAAATCAGACCTGTGAAACTTCATCGCAGCCAGTGGATGCTTTTACATTCAAGTTGTTCAGACGAGGACTACTTGTTCAAGGTTTTGGCTTGTGGTTACTGGGCAATTTAAGTATGTCATCAAATTATATTATATTCAGTATTCACTTAGGATTCAGTATTCACTTAGCAACAAATGCATGGTTCGTAGACAATTTTGGAAGTCGTCTCAGAGTTTCCTTAGGTTTGCCTACAATACAGTATTCCCAGAAAAATTAAATAATATAATTATTTTGAAAATTGCACTTTAGAAGTCAAAGTGTTTTATCTGGTATTGTTGCAAGTAATACTGAAGAGTAAGTAAAAAAAAAAGGAAAATATCCCAAGATATTTTAACCTAGTCCTCCACCTTCTTCTGGTTTATTGTGTTGACTAATTTCAGTTTCTGGTCAGTACGCAATGAAATTCCTGTCATGGACTTTTTTCTAGGGGAAACATGACTGTATTTCATTAAAACCTTCCAAGAGACAGTTTGCAAGAAATAGAGCTGCCACCATGGAAATAGAGCTTTTCTTACCAGGGTGGAGGAGAAATAGAAGCAGCTTATGTATGTGTCTCATGCATGTGTGCATGTATATCTGTGGCATATTGATGCATGGACTCTGCTGAGGCGGATCAAAATAAGCTTTATTGCAGGCAGGCACACATACTTATACTTGCCTTAACAACAGCAGTATTTTTCACTTAAACAAGCTACCTCCAGTTCCTTTTATCAAAGGTCATTGTTTAACCATCATGTCTATACTTTTTGGTTACAATGTTTAGGTTCAAACCATATCTCTATGTTGTTGTCTTAGGCCTGTTAAGACTTCTCTTAGCCTCAGAACAAATGCTAATTCTGAATTAATTTGCCTAATATTAAAACAGAAAAAAGAAGCAAAAGACACAGGAATATTTATCTCTCAGTACCTGAGTTTGTACCAAGCAGCCTCCAAATGGAGTGGTATGAACAAGTCTTTGATGAACTACCTCAGAAAGAACGAATTTTGAGAAATCTGTCAGAGAGGCCTAAATTTTAATTTATCATCTATGATACATCTCCATCTCCTCTCCTCTCCTCTCCTCTCCTCTCCTCTCCCAACAGCTGGCATCCAACTCCTGCTAACATATCATGCTCCATATATATCTACCTAACTGTATACATGAGGGTACTGATAGATATCCAGCATACACTAGGAGGTTTACAGCTCTGCAGGGAGCAATCACGTTCACAAGGAAAGCAGGTCCATTTGAATGATTTTAGAAGTCAGGGAACACTAGGAGCCTTGCTGGGACACTGGGAAAAAGAGTGTCTCCATATATTGAAGTCAGTAGGACAGTAGAAGAGTTGTGGAGCAGTAGAGCAGTGTGGTACCATCTCCACAGCCTTCTGCAGGATCAGCGGAGAAACCAGAAGGCACTAAGTGGAGTGAGAAATCTTAAAAAAGAGGGTAACTGAAAGTGAAATTTGTAATTTGAGACACTTTCCTTGGGAGAACTAAATCTAAGGCATTTCATCTCCCCTGTGCTGCATGGCAACCTGCGGGGAAGAGGGCATGAAGTGGCCAGCATAACCTAGTAAAACCTTTTGGTTTTTTGTGGGAGACAGAATGGACATGTAACTACAGGCAATAGGTAGTGGGATTTTTCTTGCCAGGGAGGCACACTGAAGTGAGTGACTGGATAGGGTGCAAGAGACCTGTAGGCCCGCAATGAAGCATGAGCATACAGGAATGAGAATTGTAATTAGAAGAAAAGAAAGAAGGAAGGGTGCTTTGTTTTCCCGTCACAAAAGCCCTTCTTTGGATTTGCCCACGTTTGAAAAAGTGGAAAGGAGGTAACAGAGACCATATGTCACAGAATGACAGAATTATTGAGGCTGGAAAAGATCTCTGAGATCATCAAGTTCAGCCTATGTCCCAATACGACCACATCAGCTGGACCATGGCACTAAGTGCCACATCCAGCCTCTCCTTAAACACCTCCAGGGATGGTGACTCCACCACTTCCCTGGGCAGTGCATCCCAGTGCCTGAGCACCCTCTCCGTGAGGAAGGGCTTCCTGAGATCCAACCTAAACCTTCCCTGATGCAGTTTCAGGCCATGCCCTCTCGTCCTGTCACTGGCTGCCCGGGAGAAGAGCCCAACCCCCACCTGACTGCACCCTCCCTTCAGGCAGTTGTAGAGAGTGAGAAGGTCCCCCCTGAGTCTCCTCTTTTCCAGGCTAAACACTCCCAGCTCCCTCAGCCTCTCCTCACAGGACTTTCCCTCCAGTCCCTTCCCCAGCCTTGTTGCTCTCCTCTGGACCCGCTCCAGCACCTCCAGGTCTTTCTTGCAGTGAGGCCTCACCAGTGCTGAGCACAGGGGCAGAATTACATCCCTGCTCCTGCTGGCCAGACCGTTCCTCATACAGGCCAGGATGCCATTGGCCTTCCAGGCCACCTGGGCACACTGCTGGCTCCTGTTCAACTGGTTGTCAACCAGCACTCCCAGGTTCCTTTCTGTTGAACTGCTCTCCAGCCACTCCTGCCCCAGTCAGTAGCGCTGCAGGGGGTTATTGTGGCCAAAGTGCAGGACCCTGCCTTTGTTCTTGTTGAATTTCATCCTGTTGGCCCATTGATCCAGCCTGTGCCGGTCCCTCTGCAGTGCCTTTCTACCCTCCAGCAGATTCCCCCTCAACTTGGTGTCATCTGTGAAATTACTAGGAGTAGACTCAATCCTCTCACCCAGGTTGTCAATAAAGGTGTTGGATATCCACACCCCTGCTGTTTTTAGAAAAGGACATCATGGTTATCAAATTGTGATTCTTTACTTGGCTTCTTTATCCTCTCCACCTGTGTGGAAAGAAGTCCAAAGGATGAAGCATCACTTTTCATTCATTGCTAAGTGCAGAAGCTTCAGCTCTTCTTGGAATTACCTCCTCCTCAGTCACTGGCTCTTAAAATAATAACTTCCTTTTTATTTCCCTATGAGTCCTGAGGGCCACAGGGGCATTAGTAATAGATGAATCAGAACACAAAGTATGAAGATGTATAGTAAGAGCCAATGCTACTTGTTTGGGTTTTTTTTTCTGATAATAGACTCTAATAATTTGGAAAGTTAAATTGGCAGCTATCGTGAACAATTACCTGCAACTTAGTTCATGGGTACATTTAAATAACAGGGACTGGCACTATCATCAGGTCAGACAGAGTTCTGTACT